AGGCACTCCAACTCATTTAGAATAAAAGACAAAATCTTTGTAATGGCCTATGAGACCTCTCTATGGCCTACATGGTCTGATCCTCAACTACCTCCCTGATCTCTTGTCCCTGCAGATATTTCCTTTGCTGGCTGTGTTTCAGCCATACTAGCATTGCTTATTCCTTGAACTCCCCAAACTTGTGCCTGCCTCAGGGCCTTTGCACTTGTTTGCACTTAGACTACTCTTCTCCAATATAGGCTATGGTTCACTATCTTTATTCAGGCCTCTGCTCAAATATTAACTGATCAGGCCTGTTGTCAACACTGTATTCCATATTCTGTTGTACTTCATAGCACATATCATTCCCTGAATATTATACTATTATACATTTCTTTCATTTGCTTGTTTTCAGCATCCACCAACTAACATGTAGCCTTATGTGGACAGGCTCTTTTTCTTGTCTGTTTACTACTGCATCCCCAGTATGTTTTACTTATCTGAGGGTACAAAATATGTTTTTCCCCCCTCTCCTTTATTGCAGGAAATAGTGTGCACAAATACTCATAGTGGAGCCTGAACAGATGTCACATTTGTAAGTGTAAATTTTGGTGCTAAAGGGAACGATTGATAGATAATATAGTTACACTAAGCCACCTCCACCTTTAAGAATTAACTGTTTTTGGCTTTCCTACCCATATTCGGAGAATCCTCAGAACCAAATGGTAGGGACTACCTCCCCAACATGTAATTACGGCATGTGCCCAACATCCTGTGTGCCTCTTAAAATGTTTTCATTATATTCCTCCCTGTAAACTCAAACCTTCCCTATTTTCTTTTCTCTTCCCCATCTCCACGCTTCAGCCTTCTGCCTAATCTCTTAGTAGATCAAGCACAGGCACGTGCAAAAGCAGGAAAATGTTTCCTGGGGTCTAACCATTGGAAAGAAGGGATGGATTCAGTAGAATCCTAGGAAATAAGTTACTGTTTTTTAATTGGGCAGGGCAGACAGGAGGTAATAAAAATCATGCCGGAGGATAATATTTGGGATTTTATGCACGTACATGAGAAAAAGAGTTTACACAAGGGGATGGGCTAGGACACCTGTAGTGTTCTTGACATTTTTTTCCAGGAAGTTTTAGTTTTACAGCTTTATTTTAGTACCTTATCTTCTGTTCTTGACCTCTTTAAAATGTGTTTTCAAACACTAATAAAGGTAGAAAGGCAAAGTCCTATACTATATCTGGTGCCCTGAATTAATGAAGGAATAAATGAAACTAATTTTATATGTAGTATTAAAAACAATTCTGGGAAAGGACAATTTAGGAAAAAGGAAGAACTATCTGGGTGGTGACTGAAAACCGCGAACAGGTTCTTACCAAGTAATACTGCAACTACATAGCCAGTATGTCAGTGGTTATCAAACATGTGAATCACCTGGAGTGTTCCAGAGGTTGTTCATCCTGGCCTCTCACCCCCAGTGCCCATGATCTGGGTTCGGGGGAAATATGTGTGGCTTTAGGGATAAACTGACTGATTGAGGGTCCTATGGCCTTTGGACTGTTTAAGAAGCACTGCTTTTATATTTTATTTATTTATTTGAAAGAGAGAGCAAGAGCGAGAGACAGAACACAAGCAGAGGGAGCAGGAGAGGGAGAAGCAGGCTTCCCACCGAGCAGGGAGCCCGATGTGGGCCTCGATCCCAGGCCCTGGGATCATGACCTGAGCCGAAGGCAGCCGCTTAACGACTGAGCCACCCAGGCGCCCCAAGAAGACTACTTTTAAACGTCTAGTCTTAAAAATGGAGAAAGCCCTTTTTATTCTCTAATATTTAGTGCCTCTATTTTCAGAGAGGAAGAGAATGAATGTCACTTCCAAGCAAGTGACAAACATTTTAAGATTTTTTTTTTTTTTTTTTTTTTTTTTTTTTTTTTAAAGATTTATTTATTTATTTGAGAGAGCGAGAATGAGAGAGAGTACATGAGAGGGGGGAGGGTCAGAGGGAGAAGCAGGCTCCCCGCAGAGCAGGGAGCCCGATGCGGGACTCGATCCCGGGACTCCAGGATCATGACCTGAGCCGAAGGCAGTTGCTAAACCAACTGAGCCACCCAGGCGCCCCAACATTTTAAGATTTAACAGTTTTAACAATGTAAGTTTCTGGACATTTTCTGACTAGCAGGCCCAGGATCTGGAAATCCCTGAGCATCTATAAACCCTCTTTCCTGCTTCCTTCCTTATCCAGATTGTGAAATAGCAAAACTACAACTATGGAGAATTGTGTAAATGCTCAACACCTGAGCAAAAACGGTTTATTGTAAATAAGTGGCCTTTTTATTATCTTATTCTGACAATTTAACGTCTTCAATTTGCCTAGTAAGTACATACTGATTCCATGTACCTGAAAATACCAAACTGGGACAGGAGAGGTATGTAAACTAGAAATTACGTCAACGACAAAATCAAGATCAAGGTACACGGTGAAGGTTTTCTAATAGGAGAGGGGCATGGATTCAGAAGTATTGCTTTGCATTTTTACAAACACATGAATCTTCCAGAGCAAGAAAAATGCAATTACAAAGTACAGATCCAATCTAATTGCTTTACAGTAAACACTCTTTAACACTAATTTCTACAATCTTGATTGAGACTTACGTTGACTGCCACGCGTCATTAGCCGTTTCACTGTTAGAGCTGTTACTTTTCAGAATGAATACACGTACTCTACCTAGTTCTCCACTATGCTAAAGAATCAGGTCCCATCTTGGGTTCCTTTCTTATCCTCCAAAGGAAAATGCTGACATCGAATAAGAAAGTGAAACTAACTGGTATTAAAAGAAAAGGAATTTTGAATAGAGAGAAAACAGCTTCTTTCACCGAGAAGGTGGGTGGCTCTGAAAAGAGCCTTTGGAGTCAAGCGGCCGGCGACCCGAGCTCGAGCGCCGTGTCCCGGCAGGGACTCACTTGGAGCTGGTGTACTTGGTGACCGCCTTGGTGCCCTCGGACACGGCGTGCTTGGCCAGCTCGCCGGGCAGCAGCAGGCGCACGGCCGTCTGGATCTCCCGGGACGTGATGGTCGAGCGCTTGTTGTAATGCGCCAGGCGGGAGGCCTCGCCGGCGATGCGCTCGAAGATGTCGTTGACGAAGGAGTTCATGATGCCCATGGCCTTGGACGAGATGCCGGTGTCGGGGTGCACCTGCTTGAGTACCTTGTACACGTAGATGGAGTAGCTCTCCTTGCGGCTGCGCTTGCGCTTCTTGCCGTCCTTCTTCTGGGCTTTGGTGACCGCTTTCTTGGAGCCCTTCTTGGGCGCGGGAGCGGATTTTGCCGGCTCGGGCATAGCGGGAAGCGCGAGCGACAGACAAAAGCGGACCAGAAAAGCACGCAGCACAGTAAGACCCAGGCTACCGGAAGCGCCTCGGTCCTTAAAGAGGCCGTAGGCAAATTAAGGCTCTGGTTACGCCGCGTCGTGATTCGCGATTTTTCGGCGGCGCTCCTGCGCGGGGGACGAGATTATGTAAATGAGCGGATTCTGGCCGAGCCGCCCTATTGGCCGTCAGGACAAAGATCTGCTTGAGCCAATCGAAGTGCTCCGTAGACAATCCGGGTTCTGCCTATAAAAGGGTGAAGCGGGGCGCTTTGCGGCGACTTTCTCGGTCGTCCAGCGGGAGGTGTTGGCCGCGAGCGTCGCTGTCATGTCTGGTCGTGGCAAACAGGGAGGCAAGGCCCGCGCCAAGGCCAAGTCGCGCTCGTCCCGCGCCGGCCTGCAGTTCCCGGTGGGCCGAGTGCACCGCCTGCTGCGCAAGGGCAACTACGCCGAGCGGGTGGGGGCCGGCGCGCCGGTGTACATGGCCGCGGTGCTGGAGTACCTGACGGCGGAAATCCTGGAGCTGGCGGGGAACGCGGCCCGAGACAACAAGAAGACGCGCATCATCCCCCGCCACCTCCAGCTGGCCATCCGCAACGACGAGGAGCTGAACAAGCTGTTGGGCAAAGTCACCATCGCCCAGGGCGGCGTTCTGCCCAACATCCAGGCCGTGTTGCTCCCCAAGAAGACGGAGAGTCACCACAAGGCAAAGGGCAAGTGAGGCCGGCGTCGGGAAGCCCCGCCAGCCCTGGTCTCGAAGGGGGCAACTGTGAAATCAAAGGCTCTTTTAAGAGCCACCCACTCTCTCAAATAAAAGAGTTGTTAACAGTAGCCGGTCTTTTGCGTTCCGCCTTTGCCAAGTAGTAGGCTGAGCCCCCCGGAGACACGGAGGCGAGGCGAGGGGGTTGTCCCTCCCGCGTTGCTCGCCTCTCGAACCCTGAGCGCTCGACCATCTTCATTTCGGTTGGTAGAGGGGCCGAACCGCCTTGGGTGCAGCCACGGTCGGTTGGGTCCCGAGTCCTGTTAGGCGGTCCCCGACTCCTGTCTCAGGAGTGGGTGCCGGTGCCGAGTGCGCAGCTCGCCGCGTTCCCGAGGCCTTTGCCCGGCACACACGTGCGCCCCCGGTCGGCAGGGGCGGACCTGGTCCTTGGCTTAACTGAGTCGGCGGTCTTAGTCCAGTAAAAGTGAGGGACGGCCCTCGCAGCGGCGGTACAGGTTTCTGGAGGCGGGATCTTGCGCTCGAGAGGCGGTGGGCGGTGGGCGGTGGGCGGTGGGCGGTGGGCGAGACAACTTTCCAATCTGAAAACCACCGGCAGGCGGGAAAAAAGATCCGTCAGACGAACGAGGGGGCTCCTCAAAGGTCACAAGGCGTTTTGGGGGACGGGGAGCAAACGCAAGTTTGAGGTTGAACTGGGGAGACGGCGTGGCGTGGGGGGGGAGGAAGGGGGCGCGGAGCGGTGTTCTACGGGGGCGAAGGGCCGAGGAGGAACAACATTCTGACACGGTTATGAACGCAAGTGGGCCTCCCCCGCCGGCCGAAGAGAAAGGAAAAACAAGGTAGGGAAGACTGTTGGCAAACTGGAAAGCGGCCTGAGCGAGGCGGGTGGGCGGGGGTGGGGAGGATTCTGCCCAAGCCAATGGGTGGCGGCAGGGCGGGTGACGTCATAGCCAATGGACAGCCAGCGCGGGACTTTCAATTATTGTCCCGCCCAATCGGAAAAAGACGGTGCCTATAAAGACTGGTGCGGCGGGCGGCGGCCGCGTTACTCTCGCTGCCGCTGCGCTGGTGAGCTGGTGTCTTGGTTCGCTATGGCTCGCACGAAGCAGACCGCCCGCAAGTCGACCGGTGGCAAGGCCCCGCGCAAGCAGCTGGCCACCAAGGCGGCCCGCAAGAGCGCGCCGGCCACGGGCGGCGTGAAGAAGCCGCACCGCTACCGGCCGGGCACCGTGGCCCTGCGCGAGATCCGGCGCTACCAGAAGTCCACCGAGCTGCTGATCCGCAAGCTGCCGTTCCAGCGGCTGGTGCGCGAGATCGCGCAGGACTTCAAGACCGACCTGCGCTTCCAGAGCTCGGCCGTGATGGCGCTGCAGGAGGCGAGCGAGGCCTACCTGGTGGGGCTGTTCGAGGACACGAACCTGTGCGCCATCCACGCCAAGCGCGTCACCATCATGCCCAAGGACATCCAGCTGGCCCGCCGCATCCGCGGGGAGCGGGCTTAAAGTGCGCGCCCGGCTCGAGCTTCCATCCTATCCATCCAAAGGCTCTTTTCAGAGCCACCCACGACAGCACTCGGAAGAAGCTGTGCCACTTAGTCGTCCGCTCCTTCCCGGCGGACGCTCCCCTATCGCGGGAGGGTGGGACGTTCGGGCGGGGTCAAGCCGGGCGCCCCCACAGGCAGCGTAAAGACCACGCGCCGGGTGGAGGATACCCTGTTCGCTGGCTTCCTACTCCGGGGCGGCCGGGACCCCCAGTTGTGCTCCTGGGAGACGGCGGTGCCCGCTCGCTTTACTCTTCGGGCCCTTCGGAGGGGGGGGGGGCCGCGGGGGGCGTCTTTACGCGCTCTACTGCGACCGGGGGTTGTAATCTGTAAGAAGGGGAGGGGCTTTCGGGCTCGAGAGGGGGCCGAGTCGGCGAGGAGTCCCTGGGGGACGCTCGGGACTCGCCGTCCAGGGCAGGCCCGGGCGGCCTGTTTAGGCCACGGGAAGCGGCGCGGCCATCGCCGCGCGCGGGCGGCCTCCACGCCCCCGCCGGAAGTGGCCCCGAGAGGCGCGGCGCTCCGGCTGCGGAGGGAAACCGCCACCTTCGTATCGCCCGGCCTCTGCCGGCTCAAGTTCGGCATTCCCGAGCTTTGCGTATACCTAATTCCCCCATTTTTAGGCTTAGGGTAACTCTCCATGCTCTACTTCTAAGCCTAACTTGTGATGGCGGGGGAGGCACGAATGTGACTGACCAACGGCGAAGGCACTGGGCCTTCGTTGGGCCGTTCTCAGCATAGATCCATAGTAGTGAGACTCCCGTGTGTTCTGTGAAGGTCTCTCTAAAAGCTTCGACTGGTGTCTGGCTTCTCTGTCCAGACTTGTTATTATCTGTTCTTTTCAGACTCATGGGAACTCTCTTCGGGTGTCTGAGAGGTTACCCAAAGAAAGGACAGACGTGGGGCTTCTGAAGGGAAGTTCTTGGGCAGAGAGAATAAAGACGCAGAACATGGTCTTCCTGTGGGAGATGAAGTTCCCCACTATTAATGAGGGTGTGGGCCTTTGGGATGATTCCTGTACCATTTGGGAAGTGGAAGTGCAAGCCCTCTTGGTGGCATGGGACGGAGTCCTGCAGAGTCCCCTCCACAGAGCTCAGACGCAGAGGCTCTACAGGTCTTATATATATGACACCTCTTTTTAAATTTAGTCACTCACTTGCCCTGGAATAGGCCAAGACTTAGGTTTTCTGTTTTGTCGCAGCACAGTGATAGGTTAAAAACATTCCAGTAAGAATTCACAAGGTAAAGAAGAGGAAAGGAAGGAAACCTAGTTTTTTGTTTTAAAGATTTTATTTATTTGACAGAGAGAGAGGGAACACAAGCAGGGGGAGTGGGAGAGGGAGAAGCAGGCTTCCCGCAGAACATGGAGCCCGATGCGGGGCTCGATCCCAGGACCCCGGGATCATGACCTGAGCCAAAGGCAGATGCTTAACGACTGAGCCACCCAGGCACCCCCAGGAAATTTAGTTTTTTAAAGCTCCTCTTGCCTCTCCTGAAATGTGTCAGCGGGAGACCAGTGTATTTTTTGTAGGGACTGTGGCCTCTCCAGGGTCACAGCAATCTCCAGAGCATGCCCCCAGGTTTCTAGTCAGACCATTATTCCCTGCTTAGGCCCTCAATGCAGGATAGTTCCATGGTCCTGGGTCTGTACTCTCTGAGTTAAGAAGTAACTTTTAGAGGTGTGGGAGGCACCACCTTTGCACCCATCGTCTCATCCATCTAATGCAAACCTTTCAGGGACATAACAGGGCTTTCTGAGGTTCAGTCTGAGGCTCTCGGGTGTGGCTTGTTCAACATCTCAGGCCCAGGAGCGGCTGAACAGCCCCTGGAACCTGTGATGTTGGTTACAGGTGTCAGTCCTCTACATTCTGTGTTTGCCCCCAGTATCACACTGCCTTAATTTACCAGTCTGAGCACCTCTAACCTCCAGGAGGTCTCCCTGTCTGAACCTCAAAGGGAAATTTAGTGGCACTGTTGATAGTCAGGAATAGAAGAAAACCTTGTGTTCTTTTACTATAAAAGCCTCCCCTCCCAGCAATCTTTAAAATCTTTGGTTAGGAGACCAGCACAAAGTGCGCACATCAATACAAAAGAACAGCTTAAAATGTAAATTTTCATATTTAATAATTTCTATACTTAATTGTCTGCTTTTTTTTTTAAGATTTTATTTATTTATTTGATGGAGAGACACAGAGAAGGAACACAGGCGGGGCGGGGGAGGGGGGCAAGGGGGAGGGAGAAGCAGGCTTCCTGCTGAGTAGGGAGCTCGACGTGGGGCCGGGTCCCAGGACCCTGGGATCAAGACCTGAGCCCAAGGCAGACACTTAACCCAGGCGCCCCTTAATTGTCTACTCTTAGGTGAGAGTTAAAAGATAGTTAAGGACAAGGTAAGTAAATGCTCTTCCTGTAATAATTAGCTTCTACATGACCAGCTGGGTTGTAGGAGAAGTCTACCTTGAACCTGCGTTGTTATTTGTTTTTGTTTTTTTTAAAGATTTTATTCATTTATTTGACAGAGCACAAGCAAGGGGAGAGGCAGAGGGAGAGGGAGAAGCCAGCTCCCTGCTTAGTGGGAAGCATGATGGAGGACCCTGGGATCATGGCCTGAGCCAAAGGCAGGCATTTAACTGACTGAGCCACCCAGGTGCCCCTCAACCTGGGATTTTTAAGAAGTGAAGTTTTTGTTCAGATTTAAATCTGCCTTAAGGTAGTGGGTGTGTGTGCATGCATAGAGGTAAGCTCTGTGGTATGGCCCTGTTGACATTACCTTTGCTTCCTTGGAAGAGGACTTAGCCTCTGGGTTCACACCCTCTCTTGGTCATTCTTATCCTTCTGCACATCCCCATCTCAACCTTCTCATGTTCTCCTCCTCTTTCTCTGCCAGGCCCACAGATATTCCTGGGTTCGTTCATGCTGACCTTGGCTTTTTCTTCCCTGAAACTCAAAGGAGATCATGGATTCCCTGCTTTCCATATCTCTCCTCCCCCAAGTGCTCCCAAATTGGTATCTTCCGCTGAGCCCCCTGTCTTGAGCTGTACACCAATATTTCTAACTGCTGGGTGGCCAGGTCCTTCTGGATAGGTAATAAGCGCTTCACACTCATTTCCTTTTTTTTTTTTTTTTTAAGATTTTATTTATTTATTTGAGAATGAGAGAGAGCACATGAGAGGGGGGAGGTCAGAGGGAGAAGCAGACTCCCTGCCAAGCAGGGAGCCCGATGCGGGACTCGATCCAGGGACTCCAGGATCATGACCTGAGCCGAAGGCAGTTGCTTAACCAACTGAGCCACCCAGGTGCCCCCACACTCATTTCTAAAAGTGCATCATCTTGCTTCCCAAAGCTATTTTCCGCCTTCCATATTCCCTATCTTGCTGAAAGATACCTTCACCCTCCAGTCTGTTCAGGGCAGAAGTTCCTTCCTCTGGCCCTTTGTCCAGATTTCATGTTATCAAATCTACTTTCTGACTTTCAATACCATCACCCTTTCTCTATCCATTCAGGGTCCCTGTGTTAACTGAGCCCCGACCCACTCTGATCTGGAGGATTAAGCATTCAGGCTAGACCCTGCCCTGCCACTAAGCTTCCACTCTGTGTGAGAGCTATCTTTTTTGAAAAGCATTTTTGTGAGCCTGTCACTCTCATGTTTTAATTTTTTTCCGCCTCCTTCCCATTCCCTTCAGGTTAAAGTCTACCTTCTTTTGCATGGTAGTTCAGAGCAATGGAGGTTAATAACTAGTAGGGACTCTGCAGTTAGATGAACCCAAATTTGATGACCTTACCCCAATAACAGGTATTTGACTTCAGCAGGTAAGTCTCTATAGGCCTCACTTTTCCAATTTGTAAACTGGGGACAATAGCATCCTGCTAATAGTGTTTTGGAAATATTAAAAGTGACAGTTCCTATAAGGAACCTAGCACAGTGTCTGGTCCAGAATAAACATTCAGTTAATTTTAGCTACTCTATTAACAGTTATTAAATTTAAAAGATCCCAATAAGAATTAACATACATCTAGTTCCTGGCATTTCTCAGAGCCTTCCCAGCTTTCAGACACTCTGCCAGCCAAATAAGTAATTTCTAGCCCCATAGAACATCTGCAATCCCCAAGTATACAATGGCTTCACACAATCCATTTCTTCTATCTAGAACTTTGTCTGTCTTCCCCTTTTTTGTAGCCCCAAGAACCCCTGCTCATTCTTCAAGACCCAGCCCTATGTAGCACCCCCTTCCCTTTCTCCTCTTCACCCTCATCTCCTTGGGCCCTCCTCCTTGCCTCTTCCTCTTCCTATACTTACACCCCTTCCTTTACCCTCAGCAGTAGGCCAGCAGCATTGCTCAGGGTGAAGATCATCTTGTTTTCTCTCTTGTTCAGCCCTGAGGCATCAGCACCCAGGCACGCCACAGGTGGTCAGGAAATGCTTGATGAGAGGCCTGCCCTTTGGCTCTTACGTGAGAAAGTTGGGGACAAGATGCTCCAGCTCTTGGGGTCCTTGCCGTTTGGAGATCAAGAGCAGGTCTGAACTGGACCTCTGCAAAGAACTTTCAGGGTCCTTGGGGGGTGTCTTGAAACATGGGAGCAAGAAACTGCCCAGGAGCAGAGTATCTGGAAAACCTGTTCCTGGTGATAGTAACTGAGAAAAGAGGTCCCTGAGCTATAGTCCCACCAGCACCCCCAATCTGTTGCTGAATGCAGATGATCTGGGGAGGAATGTCTCTCTTTATATCCCCAAAGACCTCAGATTTAGCCCTGCTAATCAGATTTTTGGGGGATATGATAGGGGGATCAGGAGCAGACAGTAAAGTGTACATAAGGAGAGCTGGGAAGAGGACGGAGGATGGCAGAGGAGAGAAAGGGGATAAAGAGCGAAGTCCAGGGTTCTTGCTGCTTTGAACTGGGGTTGAAGCCTGAGGCCCTTTGTGGGTAGGACAAGGGCTCCTGACCCCTAACCAGGGGAAAGCT